GAAAGAAGAAAACCCCTGAAAGCTTCCATCTGAGGTGGCAAAGGCAGGTCGCAGCATCCTGCTGATGGAGTGCCGCCGGTCCCACGCAGTGCTGCATTCCTTTTCCTCAGGGCTCCCAAAAACTCCCAGGCTGGCCAGGCCACAACCCACGGCTGCCTCTCTGCCACACAAACAGGCCCTCCTGCTGCAGCTCCAGAGTCCAGTGAGAGGATCGAACTTGTGAGTAAGCTTCAGTGCACTCCCCACTTAGAACTTACCTTCTATTCTTGATCTGGAATATCTCTGTTTCCACATGTGTACAGTAGACATCCTCAATGGATTGTCTGGGCTGTGATCACAGCCACATGATGTCCAGAACCAGAACCAAACAGCTTTCTGAAACTTGGGTTAAACACCAGGCCCTGACATTGCAGCATGTGAATGGAACTTGCCAATATAATTATTCCATCTTGAAGCACACGTAACTGAGTGACCAGAATCTATAGGTTGGAGCTTAGCAAACAAGTGAGAGGTTCTGGCCTGAACCTCTGAATTTTGAAAATGTGGTCCCTGTCTTCTTTATAAACAATTTCTCTTAGAAAAACTAAAATGGGGACTATACTTTAGTAGGTAAACATTAGCTATAAAAGATATTGATTGCTTATGAAGAAAGGCAGAGTGTAACCTCCTCCTACTGACCAGAGCCGTAAGCAGTGACACGAACTTCTTTCAGCAAGGACCCTGAAGCCACCACCCAAACAGGACACATTGAGGCAGCATTATCCCTGCTGCTGGCCTGGGCTTTCCCCACTCACCTCGGGGAACTTCTTTTTCTGCACATATTCAGTGGTGGCAGCGTCAAAATACCTGGCATAGCCCTCATTGAGGCTGTAAATCTTTCCTTTCTTCTTAATCTTAACATCCTTCTCCACCAGGACAAATTCACCAAGAGCCCTAGAAAGATGAAGAGAGACACAGGAAAAAGAAGGATACCAGGAAACAAGCCCACAGCAGCCAAGAACACTGGAAGACTCTGCTGGAAGGACCCAGGGCTTTGCTGTGCTTAGTCCAGCTCACCTGCCCTGAACTGCCGTGAGTTAAGAGAACAGCGACAACACTGAGCCGTGCAGGAAGCTCAGGCACGGAGAGCGAGAGCAAGGGCGAGTCAAGGACGGAGGCCCGCGGTCTTCTTCCCTCCTAACTCCCACGGGCAGTGAGGCTGCTCATTTATAAGGAAGCTGGCTGTGTTGACACCCCAAGTTCTCACCCAGCTTTAATGTTTTCAAGATTTGGGCCATCAAAAATGAGAGGAAGAAGTTACACGGACGGGTGATGGATGCAGTTTGACCATTAATTTGTGGCCCAGTTATTTTGTTTATCTCAACTATTCAGTTTTGGAAACCACTGAAGTTCCTGGTATCCCAACCACTCCCAACTGGGGATAAATGGAAATCTCTTCAATCAGAAACTGGGTTTACTCAGCATAAGGAGAGGCTTGGGAAACTAAAGGAATCCTCAGAGTTCTTAATAAAACAGTGCCCCATTCCCCTCCAGTCCCCCTGCAGCCACCGTGGTCAGTTTGTACCAGACATCTCTCAGACACCCCTTGAGGCAGTCCTGGTGATAGCAGTCCCTATGCATGTGACCAGCTAGCTGCAGATATCACCTTAAACACTGATGTCTCTCTCGACCACTGAGAGAAAAATCAGGGCCTGGAAACCAAACCCATTTTGATGAATGTTGAAAACTTCAAGAAAGTGAAAAATACCTGAAAAGACAGCTGGCAGCTAGACTAGAAGGTTCTCAAGGAACATAAATGACACTCCCAGCATATAAGGAGACAAGGCCATGCAGACCATGTCTGGAAAAAGACAGTGACGAAGATACTCGGTAACTTCAAAACTAACCACACGTTCCTCTCTTCTGCCTGCTGTGAGCAATGCCTGCTTCTTTACCAATGAATCTCTACTGTCTCTTTAATCTTCCTGCCTCCTAGATAAAAATTATTTGGCTATCTAATCATAACTGCACCCACTTCCAAACAACGTCCAACCCACAACTGACTCTCTTCTTAAATCCTCCTTAGAATCATCAAGCAAAACCCAAGTGCTGTAACACGCTCATCCCGACTTCCTCTCAGCACAACACCCCAGGGTTCCTCTGGAGTGCACCCCCTTGCCCAGCAAGCCCCACTTCTTTCTATCATGGCATATTATCGGTGGACTTTGGTACACAAGCTCTTATAACTTGCTGTGCACATCTGCTGCTTTGGAGCAGCCCAGCACTGAGTCCCACTTCTCTAAAGCACCCTAACTTCCTTCGAAGGATAACTCTTCCCATTGGAGGTGAGTCTCAGAAACTCTAAGTTGGGCCTCTGCTAGCTCCTCTGAGCTTGGAAAATCAGTTAGTTGCTCCTCCGTGGCATTTGAAACCTGAGCAAGAGACACACAACCAGCGTGGCATCCAGACCATTGCTGTGCTTCCAGCTTCCTGGTCCCCCAGACCTGCCCGTTTCCAGCCGGGGTCCTTAGAGCTTCTGTCGATGCAGTCACACCTTTTACTTAATTGAGCCAGGGTTGTTTCCTCTCTTGCTTGTCAGTAAAGAGCATGGCAGATACACAACTGTCATTACTGGTATTCACCAGCCCAGCTGAATGGAGGAGCTTATTCTGCCTCAGTGTGGGATGGAAAGGCCTTGTTGATCCTGGGCTGGGGGTGAGCACCCTCAGGCCCCTGGGCACTCTCAGCTTCCCCACTGTGGGGCAAAGACAGTTGTGGAACCTATCACAATCTGGAAAACATGGTCCTTGTCCTGGCTATGTGATCAACAACCACTGAATATCACTATGGCCTCCCACACACATTGATACACGATGATTAGGCACTGAATCCTTGCCCCTCAGAGACAGTACCTGCCATTTGTAAGGGACTGCCTTGACACCGGGGTTCCCCCGCAATGGAGAGTGTGGCTGACATGGGGTGGTCCCTCTGTGCCCAAAAAAAGTGTATTCTGACAAAAGCAAATCACCAGCCCTGCAAACCCACAGATCAGACAGGATGGCCCCCAGGAGCTCTGTCCTGGGAGACCGTGCCTTAGTAAGCTGCCGGCTACCCTCTATGGTGTTTCTCTCTGGGCAACTGCCATAGCTCCCTCAGCTGGGTGTCAGCAGCCCAAATAGGCCCTTAGCTTCGTACACCAAGTTTTTGCTCAAATGTCCTTCTTAGTAGGCCAGTGTGAGCCAATGGGTTTCCAGGCTAGTAAAGAGAGACCAAAGCAGATTATGATACAGTTCCTCTCTTCTGTTATGCATACAAGCTCTTGTGCCTGTATCCAGACTGGGCCCTGCTGTCATGACCGAAAACAGAAAGCAGAGGCTCTGTCTGTGCCCCTGCATCCTGGACTTTGCTCCTGGAGCCAAGTGCCCCTCTTCTCTGCTTCAGAACCACTTCAGAATGTTTGTGGAGATATTGTGTTAGCGCTTAAGAGCAGTTTGTTCAAAATTCATTCTAGNAAAAGATATTGATTGCTTATGAAGAAAGGCAGAGTGTAACCTCCTCCTACTGACCAGAGCCATAAGCAGTGACACGAACTTCTTTCAGCAAGGACCCTGAAGCCACCACCCAAACAGGACCCATTGAGGCAGCATTATCCCTGCTGCTGGCCTGGGCTTTCCCCACTCACCTCGGGGAACTTCTTTTTCTGCACATATTCAGTGGTGGCAGCGTCAAAATACTTGGCATAGCCCTCATTGAGGCTGTAAATCTTTCCTTTCTTCTTAATCTTGACATCCTTCTCCACCAGGACAAATTCACCAAGAGCCCTAGAAAGATGAAGAGAGACACAGGAAAAAGAAGGATACCAGGAAACAAGCCCACAGCAGCCAAGAACACTGGAAGACTCTGCTGGAAGGACCCAGGGCTTTGCTGTGCTTAGTCCAGCTCACCTGCCCTGAACTGCCGTGAGTGAAGAGAACAGCGACAACACTGAGCCGTGCAGGAAGCTCAGGCACGGAGAGCGAGAGCAAGGGCGAGTCAAGGACGGAGGCCCGCGGTCTTCTTCCCTCCTAACTCCCGCGGGCAGTGAGGCTGCTCATTTATAAGGAAGCTGGCTGTGTTGACACCCCAGGTTCTCATCCCACTTTAATGTTTTCAAGATTTGGGCCATCAAAAATGAGAGGAAGAAGTTACACGGACGGGTGATGGATGCAGTTTGACCATTAATTTGTGGCCCAGTTATTTTGTTTATCTCAACTATTCAGTTTTGGAAACCACTGAAGTTCCTGGTATCCCAACCACTCCCAACTGGGGATAAATGGAAATCTCCTCAATCAGAAACTGGGTTTACTCAGCATAAGGAGAGACTTGGTAAAAACTAAAGGAATCCTCAGAGTTATTAATAAAACAGTGCCCCATTCCCCTCCAGTCCCCCTGCAGCCACCGTGGTCAGTTTGTACCAGATATCCCTCAGACAGCCCTTGATGCAGTCCTGGTGATAGCAGTCCCTATGCATGTGACCAGCTAGCTGCTGATATCACCTTAAACATTGATGTCTCTCTTGACCACTAAGAGAAAAATCAGGGCCTGGAAACCAAACCCATCTGACGAATGTTGAAAACTTCAAGAAAGTGAAAAATACCTGAAAAGACAGCTGGCAGCTAGACTAGAAGGTTCTCAAGGAACATAAATGACACTCCCAGCATATAAGGAGACAAGGCCATGCTGACCATGTCTGGAACAAGACAGTGACCAGGATACTCAGTGACTTCAAAACTAACCACACGTTCCTCTCTTCTGCCTGCTGTGAGTAATGCCTTCTTCTTTACCAATGAATCTCTACCGTCTCTTTAATCTTCCTGCCTCCTAGATAAAAATTATTTGGCTATCTAATCATAACTGCACCCACTTCCAAACAACGTCCAACCCACAACTGACTCTCTTCTTAAATCCTCCTTAGAATCATCAAGCAAAACCCAAGTGCTGTAACATGCTCGCAACACCCCAGGGTTCCTCTGGAGTGCACCCCCTCGCCCAGCAAGCCCCACTTCTTTCTATCATGGCATATTCTCGGTGGACTTTGGTACACAAGCTCTTATAACTTACTGTGCACATCTGCTGCTTTGGAGCAGCCCAACACTGAATCCCACTTCTCTAAAGCACCCTAACTTCCTTTGAAGGATAACTCTTCCCATTGGAGGTGAGTCTCAGAAACTCTAACCTGGGCCTCTGCTAGCTCCTCTGAGCTTGGAAAATCAGTTAGTTGCTCCTCCGTGGTGTTTGAAACCTGAGCAAGAGACATACAACCAGCATGGCATCCAGACCATTGCTGTGCTTCCAGCTTCCTGGTCCTCCACACCTGACCATTTCCAGCCTGGGTCCTCAGAGCTTCTGTCGATGCAGTCACATCTTTTACTTAATTGAGCCAGGGTTGTTTCCTCTCTTGCTTATCAGCAAAGAGCATGGCAGATACACACCTGTCATTACTGGTATTCACCAGCCCAGCTGAATGGAAGAGCTCGTTCTGCATCAATGTGGGATGGAAAGGCCTTGTTGATCCTGGGCTGGGGGTGAGCCCCCCACCCAGGCCCCTGGGCACTCTCAGCTTCCCCACTGTGGGGCGAAGACAGTTGTGGATCCTATCACAATCTGGAAAACATGATCCTTGTTCTGGCTATGTGATCAACAACCACTGAATATCACTATGGCCTCCCACACACATTGATACATGATGATTAGGCACTGAATCCTTGCCCCTCAGAGACAATACCTGCCATTTGTAAGGGACTGCCTTGACACCAAGGTTCCCCTGCAATGGAGAGTGTGGCTGATATGGGGTGGTCCCTCTGTGCCCGAATAAAGTATATTCTAACAAAAGCAAATCACCAGCCCTGCAAACCCACAGATCAGACAGGATGGCCCCCAGGAGCTCTGTCCTGGGAGACCGTGCCTTAGTAAGCTGCCGGCTGCCCTCCACGGTGTTTCTCTCTGGGCAACTGCCATAGCTCCCTCAGCTGGGTGTCAGCAGCCCAAACAGGCTCTAAGCTTCGTATACCAGGTCTTTGCTCAAATGTCCTTCTTAGTAGGCCAGTGTGAGCCAATGGGTTTCCAGGCTAGTAAAGAGAGACGAGAGCAGATTATGCTACGGTTCCTCTCTTCTGTTATGCATACAAGCTCTTGTGCCTGTATCCAGACTGGGCCCTGTTGTCATGACCGAAAACAGAAAGCAGAGGCTCTGTCTGTGCCCCTGCATCCTGGACTTTGCTCCTGGAGCCAAGTGCCCCTCCTTGCTGCTTCAGAACCACTTCAGGATGTTTGTGGAGATATTGTGTTAGCGCTTAAGAGCAGTTTGTTCAAAATTCATTCTGGTGTAGTAGTCAAGCACAAGACTATCTGGGTGAGACCTCTGGCACCATCGGTCACTAGCAGAACCTCAGGCAACTTATTTGCCCTCACTGTGCCTCACTTTCCCCATCTGAAATGGGAAGTAGGGCCTACCTCACAGGGCTGCTGAGAGGTCCCAATGCAGTAATAGATGTAAATTGCTTAGAACAGGTATCTACATTCCAACCACTTAACTAGCACTATGTAACTGTTAGCTGTGATTCCAGAACAATTTTAGAAAGGGCACTTTATTGTCTAAGAGTAACATTTGCAAATCATAGAATTTCTCAGGTTTTGACTGCTTCTTTGAAAATAAGGGGAAAATCGGGCGTCAGCAAACTGGCACAGCAATAGGTCTTGGTCTAATGGGTTTATAGGTGAAAACATTATATCTGCGAAGTTACTGGGTCTCCACACTGTTAACTCTGTTCCGTTAACTCTGTTCCATTTTGAAATTTTGCAACCCTCTTCCTCCACACATATGCACTGACACATGAACTCCACAGGGCTTGAATGTTTGATCAGTGCTGTATCTTCACTGTCTGGAATGGTGCTTTGGGACATAGTAGATGCTCACTTAACATTTGTAAATCTGAATTACATTGAAATACTGAACTTTTGACTAAGTGAATACTGAAAGCTTTAATGTGGTCTTTGGTGAAAATTATCTGAGTTTTCACAAGACCTGACTGTATCTGGCAAAGAGGTTCACAAGTAATGGGCAAAGCACCCAGCATTTAAAAGGGAGATTCACAGAGCGTTCCATCTGGGTGTTCTGTCTGGAAACTGGCAGCATTGGAATTCTTAAGTCACAGTGTTTCCATGAACCAAAGGGGTTAATGCATTTTTGGAAAATAAGCTCCTTAAGGAGAGGGCCTAAGTGGATACAACTGACTCTGTGGAACCCACCCCCACCGCACACCCAGTGCCCTGGCCTGGACAGAGGTTTTTAATGTTTTAGGCTGACGGTGTGCTAGCTCCCCAAATAACTCTATCTGGCCGCGAAAACAAGTGATTAGGAATGACCAGAAAATGACCCCAGAGGACTGGAATTAAAGCGCAGAGTCCCGTGGAGGCCCCCAACTCTGTACTCACCGGGTCAAGCATGAAGAGGTCCACTCCCTGCCCGGTGGAGAGCGCCACGAGGGTGGCGCTGCCGTAGAGCGCGTAGCCGGCGGCCACAATCTCGCGACCGGGCTGCAGGGCGTCCTTCTCGGAAGGCTCGTCCTCTGTGGTCTGCGGAGGAGAGGACAGGA